AAAAAAAAAAAAGCCTACATATATAATAATACTCATGCCAACAGCAAACAATGTGTAGCTGCTATAAAAAGATTGAAATGAGAGGGTAAAGAAGAAAGGGGTTTGGTTTAATTGATATTATATATGATATATCATTAAAGGGCACCGGCTTTTCTGGTGAGATCTGCAACGAACGAGGCAGGCTTGACGGATACACTTGATGCTTTGGCGTAGCTGTACCCACCTTTCTTTCCAGATTCTGTGAAATACGCTCCATTCAGCATCAGGTCCCCCTCCGACAACCAGTTCCAATTTTCCATGCCTTCTTGTTCGTAAATTCTCTTCGTCACCTAATCCAAACAGTCCGCATTTAATTTTTATTGTTATTTTTCTCCCATTAACACACTCATGAACAAAATATATTGATTGATGTAAATACTAAACCTCCTTGGTGTTAGGATTGTTAGATGCATTGAATCGGTTTCCCTGGCTGAGAATGGTCGGGTTGGCACTCCCGCCTATGGCGTACATCTCCCAGTGCGTGTAGTCGTTGTTCACCACATGAAAGTAGCCGTGCCTGCACCTGCTCACAAACAAACAGACAAACAATCAAATAAAATAAAGAAGATGAAGAAGAAGAAGAAGAAGAATCGGAAGTAGTGTACCTAGGTACCTACCTACCTGGGCATTCTCTGGATAAGGCCACGCCCGAAATGGTTGAAGACAATTGTGACCTGCATTATCTTATCATAGGTGTAACTGTCGCTGTGCCCCAAAAGCATGACCTCGTTGTGTTGGCTGAAGTGGCAGTTCGAGATGGTGATTGCCGTGGAGCCCATGATCGCGTCGATCAGCCCGTCACTGCACTGACTCAGCGTTACGTGGTCCACCCATACGTTGGTCCCACCAAAGAGGGAGATCCCGTCCCCGTCGGCCATGGTGCGCCACCCGTAGTGCTGTGGGGAGCTCCGCACCATGGCGTTCCCCGTCTGCTTGCAGTTATGGATCTTGATGTTGTGGATGATGATGTTTGTCACGTACTGGATGGTGATGCAGGCGCCGTGGGAAATTTCGACGTTGGCCCCACGGCCGTCGATCGTCTTGTAGCTGTTCATGATCAGCTCCTCCTTGAGAGTGATCACCATGTCTCGTTTGAATATTATCCAGAGGGGCTCGTCTTGGATGACTGCGTACCGTAGGGTGCCCGGCTTTGGGCTCACAGGGTCATCATTTTCCGAGTCGGTAACGATATAGTACCTCCCATATTTGCCGCCGATGGCATTTTTACCAAAGCCCATACCACAGTCTGCCAGCCGCTTGCGGTCATTGTGCCACTTTTCACCAGCACAGCGCCAGCAGTCGTCAATTGGGTTGCCGGTCTCACATTCAGAGGTGGCACCGAGTCTACGCCTCTCAGTGCTGTTCATGATTTCCCTGTGAAAGATAAGGGGGATTTTTTTTATTTTTTTTTTTTGTTTCCTTTTTCTCATATATTTCTTTTCATATATCAAAATTAATAAATCGATCTCAAATTAATAGTTAAATGGATCCTCACATTTGAACCATCCTTGCCACTTCTTCTGGGTTATCCACAGCATGTTTGTTCAAAGTGCTCACGCCGTGTTCCGACCTAAGTAATTAAACAACCAATATAATATATACATGTCATTTATAATGGATCAAAAAAAAAAAAGAAACAGTGCATTTGCCAATTAATTAATAATCAAATGATAGATAATAAAATTACAAAAGAAGAAGAGACAAAATGTTGTGTGTACCTTCTCAAATCCGAGGTTTCATCTACGGCCAAAGCTCCCACCAAGAGTACAATATTAATGGAAACAAGAGACAAAATATTGTACCCGATTGCCATTACCAAAAACTCTAATTAAGAAAAAACTAATTAATAGCTAGTGTAAACGATCGATCGAGGAGCACCCACTCCTTAATAATTTCTTCGTTTTTATTTATAGACTCCCACAGGGGAAACCTTAAACTAGTTATAACGCCCGTTAACCAGCTGACCAAAGAGCAGAGGTCAAAAGTCAAAACACATGCGCCGATACAACACTAACATGATTTTCTTCTTCATATTATATATATATATATTATATTATATGCTTTTCCTTCAATTCTCCATGCCCAAAATCCTTTACTCATTTTATTTTGACTAACCCGCTTCACTCTCGGTCACCGACGTGGCACAGTCGACTTTTCATTTTTTGTTATTTTATTTTAGTTGGGATTTCTTTCATTTTTCAAGTAAAGTTATATTTAGATACAGTTTTGTTAGACCATCTTCAATCCCCTACTCTTCTTATTTAGATAAAGTTATATTAAAATTTATTCAGAAATAAAAATTAAAAGGTTCGTCAAAAGTACTGAAAATTTATTCAACTAATTAATAATTTATAAAATGTCAAAATAAAAATTTATAATTTGTATTAGACTTTGGTGTCTATAAATAATAATTGCATATGAACTTACTATAGATAATGAAAAATAAAAGTAGTAACAATTGTATTTTTATATTATGTAAGCACCCCTTGGAGCAACTCCAACCGAGTCCAATACTCAAACGCAAACGGATAATTTGTTCCAATCAATACTCAAAACCAAACGCAAAATGCGTTTGATGCCCTTTTCTCTCTCCTCTCACCGCATATATGCATATGCACTATTCATGATCGCATAAATTTGTAATTCATTACAAATTGTCCTTCATTTTTAAATAATTACATTTATGGCCATAGAAACATCTATCACCTCTTTAAATTAATTTGTTTTTGAACAATAAAATAGAGGTAAAAATATTTTATAGATAAAAAAAAGTTTACCAATAGTATGAACCATTACATTATATTAATAATATGAATAATTATTTAAAAAAAAATGTATCCAATTGATTAATAATATAAAAAATTTGAGAAACACTATTGGTCTAAATTAATAATACAAGCTGGTTCTACTTTGAATTTTCAATTATTAAATACATTAATTTGAAAGTTTTGTTTATATATACGCTGCATGAGCTATAGTAATAGATTGGTCTACTAATTAAGAAAATGTTTTTAAAATATTCTTTAAGAAATGAGAATATTTTAAAATTTTGCTAAAAAAATTGAACATGATCCTCTTTCTAACATATTTCAAGATTAAAAAAATAAACTCTACATGGTTGAACTTGAAAAAGAAAGAAGTCACTAGCTAATACGATCAACTAATTTTTTTAAGTTTGTTAAACATGAGATATTATTGAATAACTATTAAAAAAAAAATATTTTGTGAATAAGTCAACATTTCTGTATCTGTATGAATTATATATTGTTCAAACCGAATATAAAACAATAGTGGGTCTAATTTGTGAAGTTTTGTAAAATATATTGGTAGTATTGAAAAATATAAAAATTGATGGGAAAGAGAATATTTTGTAAATATTATTTTGGGTTTGAGAATGAATTTGTTGGTTGAAGAAGAATTAGTGTTTGATGTGACAATTACTGTAAAATAAATTTAGAAATGAATTTTTCAATTAGAGATAGTCTCACCACAACATCGTACGAACATTCCAAAACGTCCCGCTAAAAACATGGGGAATGAATGAATGAATTTTATGCCTTTTTAGTTTACGCGTTTTTCTGCTTTTTTAGAGACCGAAATTTCTTGATTATTATTCTTTTTGTCTAATTTACTAATAAATAATTAAATTAAGCGGTGCTAATTTGGGTACCCTTAGGTCGTTGAAAAAATAGAATACGCAAATATTCTGTGGGGCCAAAGGAAAGATCTTGTTGGATAGAAGCAATCACGTGCATTGCACGGGATAATTAACTGTCTTTCATTTCATGAGGCTTTTTTCATGCTTTATTTGACTAATTAATACGTATTGCACGGGAAATAGATATTAAATGAGTTATTTTTACAATCTTGTCTGTTTAAGTCTAAAAAATAATAGAGTTATTATCTATTTTATACCACTTTTTGGTACAATATATTATACATCTTTTAATCAACGTGAAGTCTAAAAAACAATAGGGTTATAAGCTTTTTTCACATCTTTTAACCCACGTTGTTTTTTAGCCTGAACATTAAATATGAGAATGTTAGGGTTGGTTTGTAAAATAATTAATATATTTATCTCACTAAAACATTTTATACTAATAAAAATATAATTTTAGCATATAATATATCCCTTGATATAAGAAAAAGTAACAGTTTTACTTTTTTTTATTCACTATATAATATTTAATTATTATTTATTATACAAAAAAAAAATACAGTTAAATAGTGTAGTAGAATTGTTATAAAATTATATAATTTTTTTTTACAATATGGATTTAATATCTTTTTATGATATTATAATATAACTATATATATTCTTAATGATATAATAACATGAGATACGAATTTACATAATACTACGTATTTATTCCTTAATGTTAAGATAATGAATTAGGTAATATATGACTCACTAATTTGGAATTTGTCTCTTTTTATATTGACCCCGTTTGGAAGATAGCGAATTGGAGATAAATTAGAGGATCAGACTTAATTGAGGTTTGACCTGTCAAATCCACTATTGAGCCTATTTGGTAAATAGCTTATTTGATAAGCTTTTTGGGCCCAAGACTCTAATTTAGAAAAAGCTCATTAGATCAGCGTTTTGGGATAGAGGATTCACAAAAATCATTTACTTTGAACTTTTTAATTTGTATTATTTATTTTACAATCTATATTGGTTTATGGTGCTAATAAATAATAATATGTCATCCATATGATTAATTTATCTAGAAAAATGCAAAATTCATAACTTTTTCATCAAGTGTTAGTAAATTTTTTAAAAAATAATATATTTATAAATTACTAACTAAAGAATATTAAATGTTTTAATATGTTATTATTAAAAGAATACACCCTAAATAATAAAATGTCCTTATTGGTTATTTTGCAATGCCAAACAGCTATAAGCTTTCAGCTATTTACCAAACACTTATTTAAAAACCGCTAATGCAATCCGTTGGTAGAATAAGCTAATATAATCCGCTATCCGCTGATACAATCCGCTATCTGCTGATCACCAAACAAGGCCATTGAAAATAATAATGTGTTTGAGCTGAGACAACAATTATTTATAAATTCCTTCATTTAAAGAATCATTTTTAAATTGGTCCAAGCGTTGAATGCAACTCGATTTTCTTGTAACTAAATGAGAAGAGATTTTGGCTTTCAAATTTTCACTAAAAAATCACACATAACTATGGATGCAAATCTATACTTATATTAAAGGGGATCCTATTTACTAAATATAGTAGTTAGAAAAGTCAAATTTAATTAATAAATTTTTAATTTTATCAAGTATTTAATTAATGTATTTAATATTTTGGGTATGCAAATTAAATTAGCATTTAATTAGTACCTAAAATATTGGGTATGCAATATTAATTTCGGCCATTTTTAATTTCGGCCTCTCGTCGACTCCTCTCATCGGCGGCTACGTCCTGGTGTGGTCGGTTTAGGTTTTCGTGCCATTTTTAATTTTGGCCTTTTACTGCTATTTTATCCGGTTTTTGATCCAGTTCGTGATTTTCTTTTGTCTTCGTACTGTTGTTGGTTGCTGGTGCTTCTTTATTTTTTGGATATGGATTCTTCTATGGTGGTCTGCCACATTTGCCATGTTCAGGGTCATATTGCTCCATTTTGTCCAACGGTGGTATCCCACATTTGCCATGTTCGGGGTCATATTGCTACATATTGTCCAGCCAGATCACACCGTTCGAGAGGTTCATTCTCTCGACATCATGGGTCTTCTTCTACCGCCACTTCTTCTGTTACAGCGGTTGTCACTACTGAGCCTCAGCATTCGTCTTACACTCTTCAAGACATAGAGGCTATTCTCAAACAGGTTCTTCTTTCCAATTCTTCTATGTCTGCTACCGGAGGTAAATCACATTGGTATTTTGATTCTGGCTGTTGCAATCACATGACCTCTAGCCCGCAACTTTTGTCTTCCTCGTTTTCCGTAACCTCTTTACCTCCTATACATACTGCTAATGGTACTCTTATGAATGTTACTCACACTGGTTTGATTTTTTCTCCTTCCTTGCACCTTCCCGATACATACTGCATTCCTGACTTGGCCTTGAATCTTATTTCTGTTGGTCAATTGGTTTACCAAGGTCTTAATGTTATATTTTCATCTTCTGTTGTTCAGGTTTAGGATTCACAGACGGGACAGCTTCTCGGGAAAGGTCGCAAGACGGGCCAGTTATTTGAGCTTAAGTCACTTCATGTCCCTCGTTCTTACGCTTTTTCGGCTTCTACGACCGATAGTAAGTCTAGTTTCCAGTGTCATCTTCGTCTTGGGCATGCGTCTTCGAATAAAGTTCGTTCTTTATATAATAAGGTCTTTTGGGTTCAGGTAATTTTGAGTCTTTTAGTTGTCTTCATTGCAAACTTGGGAAACAACCAGCTCTTTCTTTTTCTGATAGTTTGTCAACTGCAGATAAACCTTTTGGTTTGGTACATTCTGATATTTGGGGTCCTTCTCCTGTTGCTTCTCTGAGTGGTTTTCGGTATTTTGTTATTTTTGTTGATGATTTTTCTCGTTTTACATGGATCTATTTTCTCAAAAATCGTTCTGAGTTGTCCAGCATATATGTTCAATTTTCTAAAATGATTCTTACACACTTTTCTTGTCCTATAAAGGTTTTGCGTACTGACAATGCTCTTGCGTACAAAGATTCTACTTGTTTGAAATTTCTTTCTGATCAAGGCACTTTAGTTCAACGTTCGTGTCCATATACTTCCCAACAAAATGGACGAGCTGAAGGTAAGCACCGTCACATTCTTGATACTGTATGTGCTCTTCTTCTT